CAACTGCAAAAACGGCGGCCGCATCAAGAGTTAGCAAGTGCAGCCCACAATATGCGCCATGATGGCCATCTGGTTTGCCTGCCCATGGTTGCCGATGCGCCAACAGTCTTGTGCTCCTCTCACAGACGATGACCAAAATCCCCACTAGAATTAAGAAGCCCAAAGAAATGCTTCGCATCAGGCTAAGTCCCTAACCAGCCCCCACCCCCCGCCAACACGTAGGGCCACTGGGCCCTCTCTATCATCACGCACCTAGACCCACCAAACCTTGTTTCCTTCCCCTGCTGTCCATTGTCCCACTTTTGCATTTGGCCATCGCCGCCAATCTAATCTCAGGTAGCCAATCCCTGGTGCCACCCCCCTCCCCTCCCCCAAGGCAAAACTTTCCCGCCCACCCCCACAGTGCTGCAGGGCGGCGCGGCGGGCCCGCCCCAAACCCAAAATGCCAATCGCCACACAGCGTGCACTCCACGCCCACGCCTTCGCTCCAATCCCGTCCCCGCCGCCCCGTCAGGCCCCTGAGAGCTGGTGCGGCCCGAATCATAACTTATTCCGCACCCTTCGAAGCACGTCATTGCCATGTTTTGCTATGTCTTGCTCATTTCGCTCGTTTCCCACACCACACCCCGCCCTGCCCTCAGTGACACGACCCCGCCGCTGCCTCCTCCTCCATCTCCTCCTCCTCCTCCTCCCCCTCCTCCACCCCCTCGAGCGTGCCCACGCCCATCCCCATCCCCATCCTCTCCCTCCCGCCGCCCTCCCCTCCCCCCCTCCCCGCCCCCTCTGCCATCGACCGCGTCATCTCATCGCCGACGCCAAACTTGGCGATCTGAGCGGCAGCCCCCCCCCGGCCCACCCCCCTGGAGTCCACCACTGATGACGTGCTGGCATCCGAGCTGGAGTCCCCCGGGCTGTGCTGGTGGCCTCCCTGATGGGCTCCCTCGCCCTTGGGCCCCTGCCTGCGTCCCTGCTGCTCCCTCCTGGGCGGCCTGGCGTAGCTCTGCGCCACCCCGCCGCCCCAGCCGATTCCCACCCCGGGCATGGGGCCGGGCATGAACATCCCGCCATGGAACCCGCCCGCCCTCTGGATCCCCACGAATTGCTGCGGGCCGGGGTAGAAGGCGCCCGGGGGCGGTGGGCTGTACTGAGCGGCCACGGGGTAGGGGCTCATCGGCATCATGCCCGGCGGCGGCGGCATGGGCGGCGAGGGGAGCGCCTCGGGGTGGTGGAACTTGCACGTGGCGCCGAATCCGCACCACCTGTGGCGCACGTAGAAGCTGCAATGCTTCTCGCCGTCGCGCATGGGGTAGCCCAGGGAGTTGAGACGCGGGCGCGTGGCGTTGCGCGGATGGTGGTACCGGCAGTTGTCGCCGTAGCCGCAGGTCCCCGTGCGTAGGAAGTATTTGCAGATCTCGCGCTCGGCGGGTTGGGGAGCGCGCGCGGACATCGGCGGGCTAAGCTCGCGCGGCGTGTTGTCCAGGAAGCGCCGGCCGTCGATCCCGCCGCCGCCGTCCCCGGGGTCGGAAGACATCTCCCGCGGGGAATTCTGGTAGCCGGATTCGAATCTGGGCCCCTCCCTCCTGGGCGGCTGCACCCAGACGCCTCCTGGCATCATCCCCGGCCGGGCCGCGCCGCCGAAGCCCGGGAGGGCCGGCGGCGGGCCGCGCATCCCCCCCCTGGGGTCCAGGCTCATGCCTGCGAAGTCATGAACGAGGCCCATGGGCCCGGGCATGAAACCTGGATGGATTGGCGGCACCGGCACTGGAATGGTCCCCGTCCGTGGCCCCCCGCCGGATGCGCTGGACTTGGCTGAATCTCGCCCGCCGCCCGGCGGGCCCTTCCTCCGGCCCTGTCCCCCGCCGGCCAGCCGGCGGCCCGGCCCGCCGTCGCCCCCGGCCATGCCCGGATCGGCGATCTCCCCCTCAGGCGGCGGGAAGTCGGAGGCCATCAGTCCCCACGTGGCCGCCCCTGCCCTCCCTGCGCCCGCAGAACAGACAGCACCCGACCGTCAAATCGCGCACGCCTCGGTGCCGCAATCAAGCCCTGCTCCCACCCACCCTTCCCCGCCCCAACCCAGTACCCAAACCAGCCCCAGGCATCCCATCCAAGAACCCTGGCTGCGCAACCACAAGCCGCGCAACACCGTCATGGCCACCAGCGCGGCCACCAGTGCGGCCTGCCCATCACCAGGCATATTCCCACACACGCACACACCCCTCTTCCGGCGGGATCTTTCCCACCCCCCCCCCCCACCCACCCACCCCGCACCCCGCTCCCGAACAATCCAAAGCATCCCCTCCAAGAACCCTGGCAGCGCAACCAAGGAACGCGCAACACCAGAATGGCCTCCAGCCCGGTCAACCCACGAATGACCAGGCACATTCCCACCCACCCGCCCGCCCCCCTCCCCTCCACGCGGGATCCCCAACCCATCGGCGCAATGAAATGCCCGGAGCGCCTCAAAATCCGCTGCGCATCGTCGGCCCGCCCGCGCCATCGCGCGCCGCACCCCTTCCGACGCCACGCCCGCCGATGATGCGCCCCCCAGCGCCCGGCGCCGCGCCCTGGCCTGCCGAGAGGGCCCACTCTGCGCGCCCACAGCCGCGGTACCCCGGCACGCCCGCCGGGCCGTAGCCAGTCGCCGGTGACAGCAACGCGGGCACCGCTTCCAAATAATCTCGTGGCACACCCCAGAACCGTAGTGGCGGCGGTGATTCGTAGCCGTGCTCCCCCTCCTTTGGAGCCCCGCGACCAGTAGTTAACGCTGTACTTGCGCCGCGTCCTGGACGATACACGGCCCAAAAGCAGGGCACACGCGGTCGGGCAAGTAGTTAGCGCTGTAGTTGATCCGGCTGTCAAGCAAGTACATGGGTGAAAGCAGGCCATGCGGGGTGGGGGTAGTACTGGGCGGGAAGCGGGATGGCAGGAGGGGCGGCAGTACAGGGGGCAGTACAGGCGGCCGTGGGGTGCCATACGGGAGACGGTGGTCGGGATACGGAACTGAATTTAACGTCGGAAGGGGGGCCCGGGGGGCGCGGGTATGACGGAGGGGGTGATGCCTGGCCGCGCTTACCTGGAGGGCGTGACGTGCCCCATGGGCGAAACTGGACCAGTTCACGTGGTCCAAGGGGCCTCGCCAAGGATGCAGATGTTGATGGCGGTGGCTGCGGTGATGGGGGAGGGCGCCCCCATACGCAGACACCAGTGACCGTTGGCCAACCCCTATGTCCTCTAAAATCCTCCAATATCCTTCAAATAAAGCTCCGCTGGCCTCGCTCGCCCGCAATAATGCTCTCAACCCTAAAAAGCCTTCAAAAACCAACCCCTAAAGTCCCTAGCAACTGGTCCCTAGACCGGTACCCGTGCCTGTGCGGGCGCCGGTCCCGGTGTTGATACCAGTACCAGTCCCGGCGCCTGTCTAATGTCAGCGTATCGGGAACTTTGCGGGCAATGGTGGTGCTGGAGTGGGCAAACTGAAGCTCACAATGCGCAGCTGGGTCCTGTTTCTGCACCCTCTCAATCGCACCGCCCCCCCACCAGCGCCCAGTTTGGCTCAAGGGGTGTCCCCGCTGTGTTGGCTTGCGGGTGGTGATGTGCTCTGCGACATCCCTATGCGCGCACTCCCTTGGGGAAGACATTGTCTTGATTTCAGCATTTTAGTATTTAATACAGGCCTTTCCCAAAGGGAAGATTCTGTGCGTGGTATTATCGTAACGGGGGTGATGTGCTCTGTGACATCCCGATGCGGGCACTCCCTTGGGGAGGACAATGTCTTGATTTCAGCATTTTAGTACTTAGTACAGGCCTTCTCTTCCCCTGTGCGCGTCACTGTAGCAACGGGACTGTGGAAACCGCGAGTTGAGTGTCGCTGACAGTGAAATACTGACTTCCTCCAAAGTTGGCCGCCTGCCCGCATTCAAGGTGCTTTGGTGCGCTTCAGGGCATCGTCAATCGCGCATCAATGCGCATAAGTACATAGCTCAACTGGCTGGGAAGAGTTAACGAAAACCAACTTTGTAAATCTGAAAATGCCACGCTGTCAACGAACGGGCGAGCCACCACGGGATGGGCGGCAGTTGATGTCAATCGACGTGATGCCTTTTAGCTCAAGCTCCAGGAAGGACACCACCACCCTTTGGAGAATATTGTGCTGTGCATAAAAGTGTGAAGCAGGGTTACTTTCTCATGGATGCGCAGTGTAACTAAGTGCCTGCGCGTTCATTTCTTGTAATTTCATTTCATGGCACCATTTTCACATGCACTTCTTTGTTCTCTCTCTGCTTTTCTTACGCTGCATATACGCATATATGCAATATATATTGTACCGTCGAATAGGAAAGGGCCGTGCAAAACACCCATTCGCCATAACTGGCGTTCAAATGCATTCTGAATTTTTGAAAACTGACAGTAATTTTGAGGGATTTTGAGGTGTTTCCGTTGCGAGAGTTGTCAGACTTCACTCTGCTTCCAATAGTGAAACCGCTCGCACAATGCGTTCCATTCATTTTTAAGAGCGCAAAGCCGATGTACGCCGTGGCACAGCGTTCATGATTCTGGATTGCGTCCCATAGCATTCTTCGACAAGTAGCCGCTGAAACGGAGAGCGCATGCGTGCAAGCCTTGCATATGGACAAGCTGTGCTCAGAACTCTTCTATCATTTCTACTACAGACAAGCCTTCAACAGAGCAGCAGACCCAAGCGGAGGCTCCAAGAGCCGCCAGGCCGTTTACAACGAATGGGTACTATCCGCGGCACAGCAGCAGATCTCCGGCATCTGCCACGGGGGGGCGCAGAGCGGACTCCAAAATGCCGCCCTCCCTTTTGTTTTCCTTCCGTTCATTTTGCAGAGGCAAGACATGCACTCCCGTTCCCAGCGCCCGCCTTCCAGGTCTCCCCATTCGGCGTCCGTCCGTCCGTCTCCCGACGTATACTTAGGACTGCAGGGGTGGTGGCCTCCGCGGGCGGCGGCAAGCCCTTGTCCCACGAGATCTACCGACGTCTACATCTCCTCCTCCTCCTCGTCGAATTCGCCTTCCTCCTCGGCGGATGCGTCCTGATACTGCTGGTACTCGGACACCAGGTCGTTCATGTTGGACTCTGGACGGGCAGCGCGAAAAGAGGCGGTCAGATCCGGCACCCCTTCGCACTCTCGCCAAATCATGCGCCCGTTAAAATGTGGCAAACTGTTAACAAAACAAAATGCGCCTAAAACCTGGACAGCGTCCTCGATGAATGCGCTGTGCGCTACGGGGCTCACGATTCTCAGTTGCGCTTATTGCTGCACAATCACTTACTCATTCACTTCTTGATAGATTCCGTATTAGACCAACACTATTGGTTGATTGATATTGCGCCTTTTGCACACGCCTTGGAGCGGATAATACGCAACTATTGTTCACCGACTACTTGACGCACTGGCTGGCGATTATCAACCCACAACCGTTCATGTATTGATTATTGATTCGACCATTTGCTCGTGGACCCACTTCCCCGCAGACTTGCCCCAGGCGCTGCGTTGGGAAGCCTTGCCTGCTTCGGTGAACTCCATCTCGTCCATGCCCTCTCCCGTGTACCAGTGCAGGAACGCCTTCCGCCGGAACATGGCCGTAAACTGCTCCGACACACGCTTGAACATCTCCTGGATGGCTGTGCTGTTGCCGATGAAGGTGGCGCTCATCTTCAGCCCCTTGGGCGGGATGTCGCACACCGACGACTTGACGTTGTTGGGGATCCACTCCACGAAGTAGGAGCTGTTTTTGTTCTGCACGTTCAGCATCTGCTCGTCCACCTCCTTGGTGGACATGCGTCCGCGGAACAGCGCCGAGGCTGTCAGGTAGCGCCCGTGGCGCGGGTCGGCCGCGCACATCATGTTCTTGGCGTCCCACATCTGCTGCGTAAGCTCGGGCACCGTCAGCGCCCGGTACTGCTGGCTGCCGCGTGACGTCAGCGGCGTGAAGCCCACCATGAAAAAGTGCAGGCGCGGGAAAGGGATCAGGTTAACCGCCAGCTTCCGCAGGTCGGCGTTCAGCTGGCCGGGGAAGCGCAGGCAGCATGTTATGCCCGACATGACCGCCGAGATGAGGTGGTTGAGGTCGCCGAAGGTGGGCGTTGTGAGCTTCAGTGTGCGGAAGCAGATGTCGTACAGAGCCTCGTTGTCCAGGATCATGCACTCGTCGGCGTTCTCCACCAGCTGGTGGACGGACAGCGTGGCGTTGTAGGGCTCGACGACGGTGTCGGACACCTTGGGCGAGGGGACCACCGAGAAGGTGAGCATCATGCGGTCGGGGTACTCCTCGCGGATCTTGGAGATGAGCAGTGTGCCCATGCCGGAGCCTGTGCCGCCGCCGAGGGAGTGGCACACCTGGAACCCTGCTTGTTGCGGAAACAGCCATCGCGAATTCATTGTCCATCAGCAGTTCTTCTTCTTATAATTATCTTATCGTCTTATTATCTTATTATCTCATTGTCTCATTGTCTTATAATATTATTGTCGCCAGCTTATTGTGTGCTTTGCTAAGCTACCCTTGACGCAGTGCTGTTTCAATGATATGTGTTGACGGTGTCGCTTCCTGGAGGAAAACGCGCGGGTTGCGCCGCGTTAGCGCACGTTGGTCTGGGGGCACTGCTTCGATTCATGCTGATGGGAGTTGATCCGAATAATCCGATGGTGAAAAAATGCTGCGGAGTGGGGTCGAAATAGCTGGCGCACCATCGCAGTTGGCGGGGATCGATGGTGCGTCGAATAAAAAATTAACAATGTGACAAGCTGATGCATCAAGCCGGACCGTGCATCTGCGAAGCTGCCGAAAAGCACGGCCTTCAGGCCTTCGATTGACAATGTGCACTATATGCCACATCAAAACCTGGCTACTGAATTGCATGGGTCCCGTTAACCGCGGCCTGAAAGCTTTTCAAAGAACCTAGTATTCGCAAATGCGACGTAACTAAAGTTCGGATGCCATAATGGAGGGCGTTGAGATTGAAAACTGCAGCGACCAAAAGTTCAACGCACAAGTTTTGAGCTTGGGGAAGGAAAGCAACGTATCCATGGGGCCTGCGAACGGTGACACTAACCAAAAAATTTATGGGAAGTGATGTTCTGCATTGAACGTCGCACTGTCTGTGCTTTCAGAGCTGCGTGATCTCAAATGGCGACAAATTCATGAGCGGCATTTCCTTGGTGCCAAAGCTGAAAGCTATTCGCATATGGTGTGGGGATTCGCTCATGGGGACAGATTGGCTCATTTCATATAAGGAAGTATCGGCTTGAAAGTTTTAGAAGAGTGAAGAGAATTTCAATCCCAATGATTTCCCTCATACGTTTTGCGTCCACTGGTGAAGATGACAACAAAAGGCGCTGAGGATAGGGTCATTTAAGTCCATTATTCCGCAGTTGAAAATTCACGTACCGAAGTACTTTAAACAGTTCCGCATCGAAAAAATTTGACGTTACGCTTTTTGCTCCGCAGTTTGTTTTTCAGAACGTTGCTTTTGTAATTTTACGTTACACCGCAAAATTTTTGATTAAAAGGGCATTATTTACTTCACTGCTTTCTCATAAAAATAAATCCAAGCGCTACGTTACTGTGCGGAAGGCTCAGAAATTTACGGTGCACGATTTCGCCAATTCAACAGAATTTGAGCACCGCTAGATATTCTACAAATGAGAAAACTTGGACAAATTCCTGTGACATGACGCCATGCTTGCGTCCGCCGACGAGCATGCCTCAAATGCAGCTTTAGAAACCTAAAGTTCACCTAACCTAAGCTGACTTCGGAAAACAAAACAAGACTGTAGTCAATGTTTATCGGGACACTGCGAAACGGTGCGGCAGCGTTTGAGACAGGTATATCGCATTAGCACAGTACATGTGTGAGCATGCCTTTGTAGCTGCTTGATACATATCAATTGCTTGTAGATTAAAAAACCTATGACATGGCATACAATACGCAAGCCAAACCAATCGCTTGAAGCTGGTACCCATGGACCACCAGAGAGCTCTCATCCCAAGGGCATGGACGTCATCACGATACACCATTTTTGGTTTCAATACTCCAATTTTCAATTCTGATGATGATTGAACTCGCTGGGAGTTCTCTGAAAGCTCATTAGAAAACCAAAGCCCTTGGTGACAGTAGTTGGCTTTAATTAGCCAAACCTCAACACAGCAGCGTCGGATCCCTCTCGGGAGAACGAAAGCAAATTCACGCCTCGGATGGAGATTGCCAACCAGGATGCAGGAACGAGTTGAGGCTATTTCCAAACGGATATGGCAGGCCATTCAAGGTTTGCATGCAAACGGCATGGCACTGCTAGAGCTGATGTTTGCCGGGGTAATCAGGGCGTGGAGCGAAACTGTGCCTCGAGGTACAAACTGTTGCCTGCGTTCCGCTCAACACAAAGGTGCCATTCTGTAGCTGTCCACCTATTTACGCTAAGTGTTTCAGCGCAGCTTCGGTGAAGCGCGCATACTTGACTGGTTAACACTTAATGCTCAAGACCATAACACGCACACCGTGGGCGCAAACTTTCACGTTGTTCTGGGCGCCGCAAAATCGTCCGTCATTGGAACTTGCACGAGACCATTCTTCCGACGTCGTTCGCCCGCCCCGGCAGTCGCGGTTCGCTTTCAGCTTGGCATTACAACAGTACCGGCAGGATGCGGCCCGGGGCGAGGGCGGCGGACAACATCCCCCCTCCGTGGCCCGCAAGGCGCAAGGGAAGGGCGACGCCTCCCTTGACGATGACCCGTAATCGGAGGACAGATTAGCAATGGACCCCGGGTTTCGGGAAAAGTGGTACAAGATGCAGTACTGAACAGTAATGTGTTGTACAGCTTTGCCTGAATTGATTCGGCAAAACGGGGCCGACGGATTTTGGACCAGGGCTGTATGGCGGAGGGTAGGGCGCCTAGGGGCTTTGGGGGGGGGGGGGAGAGCGCATGCAAGCGTTCGGCGCCGAAGCTTCGGTTGGGGCCCAACGACACAGTCATCAGCTGAGGCGCGTTGGCGGTGTGAGATTGAGCGACGACCGCCCCGCCACGGATGACGCCCGCCGCCCATGGGGAGCCCCCCCGACAGGGGAGGCCCAGCGGGAGCCCGTTTGACCGACGCCCCCGGCGCCGCCGGCGCCCGAGCTGCCCCCTCCCCCGGGCAGGTCGGCCACCGATCGACCCCGGCGCCGAAACGCCGGCGCAAGGATCGCAACCGGCGGCTTTTGACCACGGCCCGGCGCTCGGATCTCAACGCTGTGTCAGAATAAAGATTTCGGGTTCGGAATAAAGCCTTCAAGCTCTTGGGGCTTTCCGCTTTGGGTGGCGGATCCCGGCTAAGCTGGCGCCCCCCACCTTGCAGGCAGTCGCAACTCTCCGCCTCCTTGCGCACGACGTCCAGCACAGAGTCGATGAGCTCCGCGCCCTCCGTGTAGTGTCCCTTGGCCCAGTTGTTTCCCGCGCCCGTCTGCCCGAACACGAAGTTGTCCGGCCGGAAGATCTGGCCGAAGGGCCCCGACCGCACAGAGTCCATCGTGCCCGGCTCCAGGTCCATCAGGATCGCCCGCGGCACGTAGCGGCCTGCGGGGCAGAAAAGGTCATCAAAAACACGAAGGAGACGAAAACGCGAAAAAGGCCAGAGGAAGAGCGCGGGATCGCCCGGATCGATTGAGTAGCCCAGGGCTTGGGCAGGGAGAAAAAGCGCGCCCCCCACCCCCCGTGGCCTCGTTGAAGTAGACGTTGATGCGCTCCAGCTGCAGGTCCGAGTCCCCGTGGTAGGTCCCCGTGGGGTCAATACCGTGTTCGTCGCATATCACCTGCGGGCAGGCGCGCAAAGACGACCGGCGGAAAAATTGATCAGCCCGGAGCTTCGATCCCGCGCAGCGTGGCGCCGCCGCTGGGCCGTCGGGGGGGCAGGGAAGGCTGGCGGCCGCCCACCTCCCAAAACTTGGCTCCTATCTGGTTGCCGCACTGCCCGCCCTGGATGTGGACAATCTCGCGCATCTTGGCGCCGGGGGCCCGTCGGCGTCGACGGGCGGGGCCGGGGGGAGGAGGCCTGGCGACGGGGGCGCGGGCTGGGCCGAGTCTGACCGCTGGCGACGCTGCTGGGCTCGCGGGAGGGCGGACAGCAACGGGCGCCCCTCGGCGGATTCAGCGGCAAATAGGCCCCCGGCCAGCGAAGAATTTAATGCGACAGAATGGCCCCCGTTGGGCGCGCCGCGGGCCTGCCCCGATACGGCAGCCTGGGCGGTGTTGTAACTGGAACTGATGGAGTATTATCAACAGCTGGACGCACAAAGAAGTGATGAGGCATTAGGAGCTGCATTAAGGACATTGATGAAAGGGCTGGATACAAGGGACAGAACTCCTGGTGTCCCTTTGCTCGGCTGCAAACGTTGCCGCGGACTCGAGCCTACGGTCTCCGTTCAGGCGTCACCACCCCACGACCCTGCCTGCCTTCGTCAGCGGAAGGACAAAATGAACAACTCATCGTCACTTTCATTTGTGCATAACAAGGCAAGGAGTTAGCCGTCAGCTTCCTGTTTTGCCCGAGCAACGCAGCGTCCATGGTTGGTTCATAGAAATGTGCTGTAAAACACAAACAAACCCCCGCAATCCACCAATTCCTGTGGCTAAGAAGCATGAACAAATCAGCGGTGGATTGCCCGTGATTTGTACATTAATGAAGAAATTGTTGAGATTTTCCACGATAACATGCTGACAGAAGCTTCCTTGCAAGAAGGCCAGCAGGGACACGAGCCGAAGGTGATTGGAAGCTGCTGTGAGCGGGGCTGGGAGAGGGATTAGAGGTAGGCAGGTGGCTGCTGCAGCTGAAGAATCTCAGCGCCCCAAGGCGCCAGCGCCGACACCAGGGTCTTGCACGCCTCCGATTCTCGATGCTGCCGCTCGCCAACTGAAAGCTTGCACTCCTAAAGGAATTCATAATTTCTATGACAACAAAGATTCCATTTTGTTTATCGACACGCCATCGCGGTCTCCCCCCCCCCCTTGGCCCCCCCTAATTTTCAGAATTTTGAAAAGCCGCGCTGTTGACATCTTGTGTGGCTGCTGCGGGCAGCTGGTCAGTGCGGCACATGGAAAACCCAGAGCACACAAGCCAGGGGCCCTGCAGGAGAGTGTGGTACAACCAGGTACCATCAAGCGCTAAGCCTTGTGCCACTGTAGAAAGAAGAACTTCCTCCTGGACCCTGTCAGGAAAAGTGGTTCAACGCGGTACTGCACACAGCACAAGCATTGTACCACTCCTTCCTCCCTCCAGGTCCCCGCGGCCCCCCCGCGGGGCGCCGCTGCTGCGAAGGACCGCGTCATTGCGTTATTCCGTCAATGCAGAGTGACGTATTGTGATATCCGCCCCCGCCTGGGCCCTTGCAGGAAAAGTGGTGCAACGTAGTACTGTACACAGTACTGAGCGTTGTACCAATCCTTCCTTCTTCCTATTTCCCATGTCCGTCCGGGGCGGGCCGCGGCCCTGCGAAGGGCCGCGACGCAGCGTCGCTCCCTGGATGCAGAGTGACGCGGTGTGGCATCCACCGTGTCAGCCGGCTACAGCGCATCCGCCCACCTGCACGTGTGTACAGCCCGTACGCAAACCCCAACTACCCCGTACCACTCGATGTGGGGCAACCGCTCCCCGCAACTGCTAAGCACACGAAAAGGATTCCCACAGATCTGTCGACGGCGCCCCCGGTTGGCCTTGAGGCTCCAATCTTGCCTGTCGGCATCCGGCCCCTCTTCGACCGTCGTTTGGCTTGCGTGAGGTCCTCGCCATGATCGCGGCGGGAGGGTTCGGAACCGGCTTGGCCCGCCGGGCGCCGGCACCGGATCATGCCGACCCGAGAGCATCGCGCCTGGCGGCTCACCCCGGTATCGCGCGCCCGGCGCGTTGCGGTCGTCCACCATCTCCGCTCGTGCTTCGGCCGGCGCGGATGATATCAATGAGCCGAGTTGGGCGCTCGAGGGGGGCGTGGGGCCCCAACTGGATGGTGCGAGACGATCGGGGACGCATTGGCGCGGTAGGGCAGGGGCCCAGCGCTGCACTACGCCGGCTTCGTGCTCTTCGGGGCCGACTACCTCGCCGTTCAGCGGGCCGGCATGGGACTGGCTGGCGAGGGTGGTGGTGGACATGCGTCCAGTTCGTTCTTTCTGATCTTGTCTTTTCCTGGCGCCCCGAGGCGGGCGTTCGGCGGGCTGAACGCCGGGGAGGCGTCTCCGCCGGGGCCCACCGCCAGGGCATGGCGACGATCCTTTCGACCTCGCCCGAGTGCCGCCCTTCCCGCCGCATGCGGAGCCCACCGCGCGGTAGTTGACGTGTCTAAAATCTGGCGCTAAATCGGCTGCTCTGGAGCAGCCGTCGGATCCGACGGCAGAAGTAGAAGCGTGGAAAGTGTCGCCTCGGGCTTGTTGCCGTTTTAAGGGCAGGAGTTTGACGTGGATTGGATTGCGTTGGGCGAAGATCGAGGCGTGGAGGGACGTCGCGGATAGAGCCTGAGTCGGAGTTCTTTCTGTGGCGCTGCCTGCGCAGGGGTTTCTGTCCAGCTCCGTGCCTGCTGTCTCCAGGGCGCAGTGCCTGGCGGCCATCACCGCCGCGGTCTCTTTCTCGGGCGCGTCATTTTCGCCTTCGGATTCATGCCCTTGCTTGACCTCGCTTCGGGCAGGGACGCGGAGGAGGCCCCAGAGGTGGGCCACCAATCCGCGGCCGGGACTGCAGAACCCAGAGCGAGCGAATCGCCGCCGGCAGGCCTTCCCGCTGGCACACCACGGCCCACCTCTTAATGCCTGTTGCTGATCCATGCAGCACCACAGTACCCTGTACCAAGCCTTGCACAACGCAGTGTGACATCCGCCGCGTCAGCCAGCCGAGGGCTCCCAAACCATCCACATCACATTGACTCGATGCTGTCTGCGGCACAAACTATTGTAACGGGGCTAGTCGCCGTCAGCAACAGGGAAAAACGCGCAGGCGGCACCCCCACAGGCAGGGACGTCGACGGCTTGCCCGGGTCCCCTCGGGGCTCCACCCTTGCCCATCGCCATCTGGCCCCCCTTCGACCACCGTTTAGCTGGCACGGGGTCTTCCCCATGATCGCGTCGGGAGGGTTGGGTGCGGGCATCGCCCGTCGAGGGCTGGGCCCGGAGCATGCCGACCCAAAGGCAGTGCGCCTGGCGCCTCATCCCGCCGGCGGGCGCCCGGCGCATTGCACGCATCGATCGCCGCCGGTCGTGCTTCGGCCAGCGCGATCGAATCGATCGAAATGCCCAAGGGCCGTCGTGCCGGGGCTGGCGCCGGTGGTGACGGAAGCCGAGGAGGCGAGCTGGGCGCGCGAGGGGGACATGGGGGCCCCCAGGGATGAGGGATGGCTTGGGCGGATCGGGGATGCACTGGCGCGCTGGGGCGGGGGCCCCGCGCGGCACTACGCCTGCTTCCTGCTCGTTGGGGCTGCCTACCTCGCCGCGTTCAGTGGGCCTGCGTGCGACTGGCTGGCGAGGGCGGTGGTGGACGTGCCGGTGAGTTCGTTCTTTCTGACCTTGTCTCCTTTTTCGAGTGCCGAGACGGACGCTCGACGAACCAGTCGCCGGGGAGGCGTCTCCGCCGGGAAGCACCGTCCAGGCGCCGATCCGTTCGCTCTCGCCGGCGTGAGGCGCTGCTCGCCCGCGTGCGGTGCCCACCGCAGCTGACGTGTCGAAACATGGCGCTCGGTCGGTTGCTCCGGAGCAGCCGTCGGATCCGACTGAAGGAGTAGGAGCGTGGAAAGTGTCGCCGCGGGTTTGTCGCCGTTTTAAGGGCAGCAGTTTGACAAGGACGGTCGTGCGTCGGGTGACGATCGAGCCGCGGAGGGACTACGCGGATCGAGTCTGAGCCGGGTGGCTTTCTGTGGGACTGCCTGCGCAGGGACTTCTGTCCAGCGCCGTGCCGGCTGTCTCCAGGGCGCAGTGGCTGGCGGTCATCACCGACGCGGTCTCCTTCTCGGGCGTCATTTTCGTCTTCGGAGTCATGCCCCTCATGGACCTCATCTTGGGTAGGGACGCGCGGGAGGCCCCAGAGGTGCGCCACCAATCCGCGGTCGGGACTGCAGAACTCAGAGCGAGCGCATCGCGGCCAGCAGATCTTCCCGCTGGCGCGCCACGCCTGGCCTTGTGTTTTCGACTGCCCGGCCAGCCTGCGCCCGCGTATTGCTGTCCTGCAGCCACGCGCATCGACATTTTTGCCCCCAGTGGACGCATTCTGTGGACGCGTCCCCGGCATTCCAGTCGTTGCTTCGCCTGCCCATCTTTGATCTGCATTCGGGCGATGAGAATCTCACGACTGGCGCCTTTCTGTCGCAGGGGGCTGCCACAGACCTCGCCTACGACATTCCCCAGTACCTTCTGGTGCCGTTGCACCTAGGCCTGCTGGCGTGCCTGTGCCTTCGGGCGCCCGCCCTGATGGCAACGCCGGTCGCCTTCTTGGGCGCGATGCTCAGCGCCGGGAACGCCGGTGGGCTGGCGGTCACTGCCGCGCACAACCTCCTCCATTCGACGAAGCCGGTGGACAAGCTCCTGTCTAAAGTGCTCCTGTGGTCCACCTGCTACATGCACTGGGGTCAGAGCCATTTAGCGCACCATGTACAGGTCGGTGCCACTCCGATGGCAGGCTCGTGGCTGTTGATACTGCCATTTGCTACGGTCATGGCGGAGCCGGAGCCACTGATTCCATTCTTACTGTACAATTTCTGTTGCCAAGGTTGATGAACATTTGAGCAGAACTTGTTTGTTGCAGCAGAGACAGAAACTGGAAGAGAACAGCACACCAATTGGCAAGAATAGCCCCCCTTTGCATCAATCGTGTCTCATATTTCAACCAAAAGAAACGAATGTTGAAAGTTTCTCCAAGAATCGAGTGCTGTGATTTAATTGTACTTTGCGTGCACGGTGGAATCAGATAGGGACTCCACACGATCCATCCACAGCAAGATTTGGAGAGCCCCTGTACTCGTTCCTGCCACGGTGCATTGTTGGCAATTTTCAGGACGCCATTCGTTTGGAGAAGCAGAGGCTGGTAGCAAAGGGCCAGAGCCTCCTCAGCTTCCACAACAGGTGAGCTTGGGCACCAGTGGCCAGTCAACAATTCACACTCGTTCTCCTCATCCACTGTCCAATTCATCGGCTGTGATATGTTGAACCCAGCGCATTGCAGCTTCTTCCGGCGCCTTTGATGTTTTTGAGCCCAGCCCATGGCAATATGGATTCGTCCACAGCCAGAAGGTTGAGAATGTTGGAAAAACTGCATGAGGAAACTGTACGCTGTGAGGGAAACCACGGGCCTGTGCAGATACGTACTCTGGGTACATGGACCTGGCGCTGATCTGATGTTTCCACGCACGTCATCGCCTGCAAGGTGCATGGCTTTTGTCATCTTGGCAAAGTTACTGTGGAAATCCACGGACTGCACAAGGAGGATTGACCTTTGTCCCTCTTTGAAGCAGCACATGGTGCAGGAACGGTGCCTGCCGCTCAGGACACCAGTGCAAGGATCACAGAGCGAAACATTGGCGCACACGGGCGCAAAATTTGGCGCAGTGCAAGCACAGCAGCACGAAGATGATCTGTTGGGGCCAAGCGCCCCAGTTCCACGGCCCATCCGCAAGATCTATCCTGAACGTCAGGCGACGTGTCGCAATGACATACTTTGTCGCATTGCGCTGTGGTTGCGCACTAGTACAGGCATAATTGTGTATCAGATGTCCTTCTGTTAGGATGCATTCACAACCGCGCGCACCAGCACAAGGAGAGTCGGCGCGCTGGGGCGCAGCCGCGAATCATCCCACTGACCGCCCTCCGCCTTGAACGCGTCGCTTCACGCTCCGCAGGATGTTCGCCTGGGTGGTGGCGCCCGCGGTGATGCTGGCGGCGGGCTGGGCCGTCAGTGGCCCGCCCGGCGTCCTGATGCTCCTGGGCCAGGCCGTGGTCGCGGTGCTGCTGCTGCACTCCGTGGACTACGTGGAGCACTACGGCCTGCGGCGCGACGCTGGAGACCGCGTGGGCCCCCAGCACTCCTGGAACTCCGACTGGGCGTTCAGCAACCGCGTGTTCTTCATGCTGCAGAGGCACCCCGATCACCACCTGCACGCGAGCGTGCCCTACCAGGTGATGAAGGCGCACGAAGGATATCTTTGTTTATTTGTTTTTTTATTTGTTTGTTTGCTTGTTTATTTATTTATAATCAATTTATTTATTTGCTGTTTGTTTGTTTATTTATTTGTTGTAGATCCAGCACATTGCATCACATTAAATTAGCGTGCGCCACGAGTGGGGTAGATTCCATCTGTTCACAGCACTCCAATCCGCACAATCGTGTAGACCCTGTGCGAACGTGCCAAGAGCAACTACGACACCAGTTGCAGAAATTATCCAGATATGGGTTGTGTAGTCAGCTACCCTCAAGGGGAAGTTGGCAGACAGACCAACGGCACCCATCGGTGCAAATTTTGCTTGCATTAAAGCGATACACATTAAGCTATTGTTTATTCATTTTCTAGAATAGCTTTTGGTAATCTATCTATCATCTATTACTCTATTCATTGACTTGTGCGGCACCAGTTGTGTAGCTTAATTTCCAAGCGTGTGTTTCTGACAAAGGTGTCATCTGATCAAAGACGATGGAACCAAATGCGTTTTCCATGTTAATGCTCTGAGTGGCAAGGCTGCCACAAGGCTCAGTGTCCTGGCCATGTGACCCCTTTTGCCCAAAGTCCGACTGCCTCACGCAAAAGCGCTGGAAGATGGACCGAAATGGGATTTGCATGACATTGCTGGCATGAATGACATTTTGGTACAGTAGGAGGAACCGAAGGCTTTTGTAGTCCAATTACACTGCCGCAACTTTGACGAATCTCTTGACAACTGTGCTGCGACCAACGCGAAGCGATGGCTTTGGCGACTGCCATTCGCTTGGACTGCCCACCCAACTAGGCGCACAACACAACTCTCACTCCTAACACGGTTGCTTACTTCGCATTTTTATACAGCTATTGGAATCTAACTGCTCTGCTCTTGCATCGTCCAGAGTCTGAAATCTCTCCCTGAGGCACCACTCCTTCCCTTCTCTTATCCGTCCACCATAATCCTTGCACTGTGCCCGCCGCTCTTCTTCAAAGTCCTTAATCCGCGGCTGGAACGGTGGACAGCAACGGCGGGGCCTGGTCGCCAGGCAGCCCAAGCACTCCAGTAGGTCTCGATTTGGTGCCGAAAATTGGGTCATTTAGACGTCCTACCTTTGTACAGATATGTTGCTACTGTCATGACGTCAATAATGTTGATCAGCAACAATGCCGACATTAACACGTTTTGGCAAGTGCGTCAGTGGGGATGGGCGGCACTAGAGCCGCACACGGTGGAAAGTACAGCCGTTGGTGTGGGTTGTGGAAGGGAACCCGTTGCCGTGGATGCGAGGCACACGCAGATTTGTAATGTGGGTGAGGGCATGGAAGCTGGGAACATGGTGCATGTCAAAATAGTGCATGAGACATAAGGTAACAGAAATAGCACATGAGATTGGTTCGCCGACACTAGTAATCGCGCTGGTTGAGTCAGAGCTGTACAGAGGCCCGGCCTGTACATTAGAGTTGGTATTCGTGGGGTGGCAAGGTTTTATCTGGATGGGAAAGGCAAATTGAAACTTGGGTTTTTCCATTTGTTGCCCGGCCAGGCAAGCACGCTTTTTTTATTCCAGGATATTACCTCACATTTCAGTGTCCAGGTGGCTCTCCAGTCCTATCACAAGTTATGCGGGCCTCGTGCCACCTGGCAAGAGAGTCCATGGCCATGTAAAGGACATGGGTTGTCCTCGACACTGATTAGAGGAAGCGCCACTCTTTTGGATTGCCGTGGGTGCGACTTAGAATTCTTGACTTAGATTTTCTGACATAGATTGGGCGCACGGGGCACATCGGCTGTTGCTGCCTTCGTCACCATAGGAAGAGATTGAAGGCGGTTGGAGATTGGCGAATGGCTATTCGTGTTTGTGTCTGGTGTGTGGTGGGAGGGGAGCAGGAGTGGGGATTGTGTGCAAAGGGTGGGGGTTGGGGTGGGGGTGGGGGGCCGCGTGTGCTGATTTCTGAGGACCCGACATCTGTGTGGTCGCACCAACTGAGGTCGGGATCGCACAGGCTGCAAGGGGCCATGATTGCTGTAACCATTAGGCGTACATCGACAGTTTGATAGATTTTAAGTGTATTTGCAGTTTTTTTATTCGGACTTGGATCTCTGAAACGATTGTAGGCAGTGGTTGGACAGTTGGAGTTTCTGGCAGGGTTGCTTTCGTTCCAACGGGAAAAATTCAGACGGCAAACAGAACGGAATAACTTGCGCTTTCATTGGACATGGACATTGGAAGGAGCCCTGATAGAAATAAGAACCAATATTGTGTAAACAATTGAGACTTCAGATTTTGTGGTCGCGTGGTTTGGACTTTTGTGATGTATGTTTGTTTTTTGGGGAATCTCTGATGCACTCACGGTGTTGCGATGTCCATAATACATGTTGGGTGCCAATCGTGATTCATGTTGCTTCCTACTGCGAGTTTGGCTGCCTCGCCCAGAAAGATGGACTGTGGAATGGACTGGCATATTGGCAACATTGGCGACACAGATGCTGTATTGGCAACATCCATGAGCGCAGAAGGCCAACATAGTCCAAGTGCAATGTCGCTCCATTTTGGCCACCACATCGCTGCCTACTCGCAAGAAATCTGTAGAAGGTTAGAAAAGCTGCACCACTGCAATTGAGTGGAAGCACGAATTTGACAGGGACAGCGGTACATATTCCCGGTGCATGGATTTGAATTGACATGTACAGCAGTACACGCACAGGCGGCGGTGTGGTGGCCAAAATGGTGCGACATTGCAATTGGACTATGTGGGCCTTCGGTGTTCATGGATATGGCCATGTACATGAGCGGGATGCATCCGGAAACCCCCTCATGTAAGGGGGGCTCGGCTGCTGAATGGTTAGCTCAGCGCTCCCATTTGTGTGGCAGCGGCGGCAGCTGTAACTGCAAGAACAAGGCACGGCTATTCGAACTCATATAGAATTTGTCAGTTCAACCTGAATGTCAATTTAGCTTGAATTCAAACTGCCGGATGGCACTGGAATGATGAGATTCTATCCCCATTGCATCAAGCTTGTGGTTGCTTTGTTGCACCGTTCGGCAGCGCAAACGTCGATGTTTGTGCTGCCAAAAGGTGCAAGAAAACAATATCTGATCAACAACAGATATCTCTTGGGAAAGCACCAACGGTAAGGGCATTCCTCCATGCCAATGACGTTTTGTTCTTGCAATCTCGAATACACGAAAACAAATAGGCTGGGTGTAGGAATAATGTGCATTGAGTGATTTAGAGTGTAAAGTAGAAGTACGCCCTAAATTGTACTGTGCTACATTGGCAGGATTGCCATCAATAGGATTCGTAAGTCCAGTTGATCCATACAGCAGGTTGATTGGAGGCTTGGTGCCCATCGAAAAAGGCTGATGGTTAGAAAAAGGATGGGGACGGGGGGCGGAGGGACACATTGGGTCGCATTGTGCGTCTGCTGCACACGATGCTGTGGACTGAAATTACATCTCCGGAAAATGAGAAACAATTTCTCTTTCACTGCCATTCCTAAGATGGTAGGCGTAGAGGCCAATGAAGTTTTTTTTTTAACAGAGCAGTGCAAAAGACACGTTTTGCTGATGTCCCTGCTGGCCAACTGATGAAACACTTCGTTCTCTGGATAACGCACTGAATGCGACAACGTGACAATGTGACAATGTGACAATAATTGTCATGAAAGCTCTCGCAAGTAAGGGATTGATGGATCCTGGTTCTTTTGCGTTTCACTATTTTCAATGGGGACGTCGTGATAACGGGCAAATGGGAGGCTGACGGCTACCTCCCTGCCTTGTTGTGGAAAAACGTGATACTGATGAAATGCATTTGCGACAACTCGCCCCTGGTATTTTGAACAGGAGGCGGACACAGCGCGACTCCCGCCCTTGCAGCCATCCGCATGGCACAAGGAATGCTCAGTAATGCCTAGCAGCAAACCCTCGCAGGGACAATATCTGGGCATTAATTGCAGTGTCATTAATCCCCAGATATACTGTTGCTCGACGTCAATTTAGCGAGCTCCGGCATAGTTGGTTCACGCGGAAACACGCCTGTCTCTGGAAGCCCAAGGTTTGGCCACCGTGTCCTGGGGCTCGGATCCCACTGGCGAATCGCCTGGCGTTCCTGCACTTCTTCGCCACTTCGCCCTGTTGCTTGAGGCCCTGCGACTCGTCACATTCTGTCCCACGGGGCACCTCACTGGCAAGACAGCGGCACCGGGATCAACGGCTTGGGGCACGATGATTGAGGCTCAGGCGATTGTGGACAAGCTGAACTGCCCCCCCTTCAACTACGGCCTGTCCCTGGTTGGTTTCGGGTGAGTACGGTTGCGCCCCACAGCGCCTTTTGGAGCGAGCATTTTGAGCGAAATTGCTTTCAGCGGAAATCGAGCACCGCCAAGGCTGGGGTGTGTGGGGGTGCGGCCAGATCACTGCTGGCTCAGATCGCCACGGATATTTGGCGGATATTTGCGCAGATGGCCACAGCTGTAGACCAGGTTTTCAGGCTGTCTCCCAATGGTTTCTCTGTTCGATGCACCTGAAGCAACAGTTCATACCTTGGGAAAATCTCTGCTTGCATCCAAACAAGATTTGGGTGTGTTCGGTTGCGACGGGAGGTTGCAAAGGTCATGGTATCAAACCCTCGTTCGGCAGGCTTTCGTCACCTTGTGATAACAAGGGCAGTCCATTTCGTGTGGCGGCAAATGTGGCCACTACGATTTTTGCATTCAAGACTCCATTTGGCCGACGACGCCCCGCCGATTGACCACAGTTTTTGCTATCTCTAGCTTGTCCAAACTCCCCGCGCATCTCTACGCTATGCGCTCTCTCGCGTCGAAGAACCCAATGCTGCGCAGGCAACACATTCCCAGCGAACCTTTTGACGAACGCTCCTTGCATTGCTATGAACATAGAACTGCAGACTAGTGCTCTGTATTACCATTTACTGTATATTACTGGCAAGCGGATTGTGTTGAATAGACAAATTGGTTGCATCTGTCAATGCATAGCAAATACAGTCTTCGCACCTGCAAGGCTGTTGCGGTCGTGTTTGCACCCACGTAGGTTACCGAAGGTTACGAACTAATTGTACTGAGTACCACAAAGTACGAAGTGCTTCTGTGAACTGCTGTGAAGTACGAAGTAA